CCTGCTGTGGTTTCTGTACCTTTACCTTTTGGTGCTAATGAACCACTCAGTGCTAAGCTCACCTGACTCTTGGTCAGATGTTGATTCAGTTTACAGCAGTGATGTCATCACCGACACCTGCTTTGTGCAGAGAGCAGAGATTGTTGTCTGTGTCCCAGCTGAACAGCTGCGGTAACTGATCACTACCAGTGATTGGTTATTACCCGGCCTTATGAAAGTCGTCTGGCCTCACTTTCTGTTTTTTTAGTTTTAAGACTACCAAAAATTAACTAACAGAAATCAACTGTCATGAACTATATAGTTTTTTTAAACGTTCACAGGCGCCCTCTGGTGGTAAACTGTATAGCTGCATCCATTTCCTCCTATCTTGACCGTGGGTTCTCTGCTGCATCTTTTCTCTTTCAGATCTGGAAACACGTTTTCCCAGGGGACACAAGGTCGTTAATTACAGGAAGTCCAAGCTGCAGAGATACGCTCAGTTTCTAAGGACAGACGGACTTGTCACTAGACTCATCAAATACAGCGATACCAAATGTAAGTGAGGAACAAGTGAACATGTGGATGTTGAGTAAAAAGGTTCTGCCTTTTAACTGTGTGCGTGTTAAAGGTACTGATGTCACAACGGTGATTGAACAGTACATGAATCGACGGGACCACCTGGAGCAAAGGACCATTGACAAAGTTGACGGTTTCACTACGGATGTCTTCAAACACGGACGGCGCTTTCACCTCAAACGTAATTCTCGCTGGTTCTAAAGTTATGACTAGTTAGTTTATTTTGGTGAAGAATGACATTTGACATTTAAGGTTTTGTGTGTTTTAAGTTCACAGATATCAGGCCTTGGCTGTTCACGGGATCCATGAGATGGAGTTCAGCGAATCAGCACGAGTGGATGACATGCTAAAGAGGGTGGTGTCACCAGGAGAGATGACAGAAACCTTCCAGAACCGAAGCGACTTCCTTTGCTACAGACACACCGTCTTCAGCCGAAATGTACAATTCTCTGAAAACAAGAATGCTGAGCCCAACATTTACCTGCAGAAGGTAAACGGGAAATCAGGATATGCATTAAGTGAGGGTAAACGGGGATATAGGATAAGCACATATATTACAAATGAGACGGGAGGGCAAACAGGAAGTTCAACTGAACAGTACCTGCAATGATAAAAATTAAAAAATTGAATTTTGCTACATGACTTGTAATATATATATATATATATATCTCCTCAGAAGTCATTTCTATTAATAATTTTCTGCCTCGGTGATTAT